AAAAAAAAAAAAAAAAGATTTGAATCTCTATTTCTCCTGGTTCACTTATTTTGGGCTCTAGCTCAGCAAAACTATTTTTTGGGGGGGGTGGGGAACTTTACTGATTTAGGGAAACTCTTGTCATCTTCTAGCACATTTTTTTTCTTTCCCCAACCACTGCCTCTTAATCTCTAAACCCAATGTGGGCCTCAAACTCATGACCCCAAGATCAAGAGTTATGTGCTCCACTGACTCACCCAGCCAGGCGCCCCTTCTACAATTCTTAATCTTGATGAGTAAATGACTTAAAGGACTTAAATTACTCCAGCTAGTAGATAGTAGAAACTAAAATCTAGAGGACCATTCACAAAAATTCTTCTCCTAGGGTGTGTTTGCTCTTAAGACATTGCTTGTCCTGCTCTTATTAGACCAATTAAACCAGACCTACTTTAAAATATTCTACACAAAGACCCTACTCAAGGCTCAGATAGGTAAAAATGAGCATTTCAGCTTTCATCAGATCATAAAGAAGTCATATGAGCAGAATTTATCCCAAATCATAATCTTCTCATATTGTAATGATAGAGAATTGTGGAATGTGTATTATAGGTGTGCACATGCAAAGTTCTTATCCGTTGGGTGAAATCAACAGGTTACACATATATCGTAAAAGGAAGTGGCACAATTGCAATATGGAGCTGACAAAATAACTGAATAGAAATGAGTTGCTTTTGGGAAGTAGAAGAGGTTGGGGGTAGGCAAGCAAGGGATTTCCATTTTTCATACAGTCCTGTCTTGCCTTTTTCTTTCTTGAAATTATATGCCTACTTAACAATTTAAAAAGGAAGAGCCCAGAAAAGACCCAGGCACGTGAAGCTTAAATACGACACAGGTGTCATTGCAGGTTACACGGAGGAGTCGTTTAATAAATGGAGCTAAAAAACTGGATATGAATATGGAAAAAAGATTTCTGACCTCTACACAAAACATAACTCCAGATGGATTGGGACAATCTTTTGTTTTAAGTAAGCTCTACACCCAATGCGGGGCTCAAACTCACAACCCCAAGATCAAATCTCTACAGACTGAGCCAGCCAGGCGGCCCAGTGACAATCTTCTGCTTCAACATGGCTGAACTACGGTATCCAGTTTTTGGCCAAACACCAGTCTAATTGCTGTGAAAGTATGTTTTAGACGTGACTAACACTTAAGATACTATGAATAAAAGATTACTTTCCATAACATGGGTAGGTCTCATTCGGTTGAAGGCCTTTAGAGAACCTGAGGTCCACCAAGAAGAAGGAATTCTGCCTCCAGACACAACTCTTCCCTGGGTCTCTGCCCTTTCAACCTTGCCAGCCCCTACAATCTCTCTGTACTCATCCTATCTGTTTTATTTCTCTCAAGAACTCTAATACCTGGATTAAGCTCTTAGGTAAAAAGAGCAAATCTTTAAAACTCTTAGTAAAAAATAGTTATCTTTGTATATTGTAAAGATTTCCCAAATAAGACCGAAAATACTAATCATAAAAACTAACAGCTTGATTACATTATAAACTGCTGCTTATAAAAGGTATGTTAAAGAATACTAAACAGTAAGAAGATATTGACAAGTGTTCATCATTCTACTCTCAACCTGTCTCAATCTTTCAGACTTCACTTAGCATTTTTTTTTTTCATTTCCTTGAGAATTTTAGTTGTCTTATCCTTTTCTTGCCTACAGTCTTCTTGGCAGAGAAGCCAGCGAGACCCTTCAACATTACCAAATGTAAACTCTGCCACATAGCCAGTTACCTAGTTTATGAATTCTTCTTTAATCAATCACAAAGCACTCTAGAATCTTACAAAGAGCTCAGCATGCTTACTAATTCCTCAAATTAATTTCAGTTCTTTTAAAAGAATCACTCAGACTACAGAAAACCACCAACCAATATGGAACCTTTATTTTTAAGGTAATTTCTGTACATCTGGAGTATGAGAGTAATCCTTTTACAAATGGAAATGATTACTAGAATAAACGACGACAAAACCATAACTGGTATTTCATGTGAATCCACAGGAGTTTTTAAGCTTCAAATCCAGCCAAGAAGTTTGTTACAATCTCTTTTAGCTTAGCATCTGACTGTTCTGAGATCTTTCCATCAGTCCTATTTGGAAATGAAAAGCAGTTCATCAATTCATCAGTTCTGACCTAAACAAAAATTCAATGACTAGCTACAAAATTCAAAAGAATTTTAACAAGACTTTCTATCTTAAAATTTACAAAAAAGAGGCCATCAATTGTGTTCATACCTTATATCGCCCAACAGGGCCTGGTGCTGGCTGATAACATGAGCCAGGAAAGCATGCTCAAACTTTGTGATCTTGCTGGGCTCCAATTTATCAAGATACCCTCTTACACCAGCATAAATAACAGCCACTTGTTCTTCAATGGCCATGGGAG